GCTAATGTGTCCTATCAAAGGTGGCACAGCGAATGCGGCCATGTTGACCAGCTCTGCCCCCAGTGCACACCCTCCTGCTTGTCTCACCCCTTCCATCTGCAAGTATATGTGGCCATATTCACACCATATATTTAAAGCACTAGGATACTGGGAGCTGTCGTTTGGTAAGGGTGCTGAGATTCGTTAGAAGACCCTTATTCCCCTCCCAGAGCTTCAATTCCTGGAGTTCCCCGTGTAGAGGGATTGATTGTTAAACCACCATGTGATTTGTAGCTCTGTGGCAGCAGTAGGGTCTCCTAAAAACTCTCAGCACCCTAATGAAGCTACAGCTCTCAGAACTATTTGGGGGAGGACATGCCTATTTAAGGCAGGATCATATATTAAATGTATGGTGTGAATGTGGCCTGTGAAGGCTGCCTACAGACTTTTGTACCAAATGCATAGACGTGGAAGGAAGGGCTAAGAGCCTAAGAAGAGCCCTGTGTGACTTGGACTGATCAAATCCAACAGGCTGCCTCTCACAGTGATCATCTAGTTGCCTATGGGAAGGTCGCAAGCAGGACATGAGGGCCATAGCCCTCTCCCACAGTTGTTCTTCAGTAACTGGCACTGAGTTAAGGGACGCGGGTGGCGCTGTGGGTTAAACCATAGAGCCTAGGACTTGCCGATCAGAAGGTCGGCGGTTCGAATCCCCGCGACGGGGTGAGCTCCCGTTGCTCGGTCCCTGCTCCTGCCCACCTAGCAGTTCAAAAGCACGCCAAGTGCAAGTAGATAAATAGGTACCGCTCCGGCGGGAAGGTAAACGGCATTTTCGTGTGCTGCTCTGGTTCGCCAGAAGCGGCTTAGTCATGCTGGCCACATGACCCGGAAGCTGTACGCCGGCTCCCTTGGCCCATAAAGCGAGATGAGTGCTGCAACCCCAGAGTCGGTCACGACTGGACCTAATGGTCAGGGGTCCCTTTACCCTTTACCTAACTGGTACCTACTACCTCAGATGCAGCAGATAATATACAGCTGTTGTGATAAGTAGGCATCCAAGTTGGTGGCCATTATTCCATCTGTCTGAAGAAGCAAATTCTGTTGTTTAACATCAACTGTGTCCTGAATCGTTTATCATTTGGCATCTTTAGATTATGAGAGCAGGAGAAAAAAATTCCTTTCAAATTTCTCTGCAGCATGTACAGCTTCCCTTCACCCCACCCCTTACTTGCCTTAAAAAAACACACACTAATGCTAAAAGGGGTGGTGGCTCTGTGTTTTATGTGAGAATCCCATCCTATTTATACCCTTTGCATCAGCTCGGAATAAGGATATTAAAATTAAATGCATTTCTGGCTATTAAAAAAACTAAAATCCCTTTGCCTTTCGAAAGACTTCCAAGAGGTAGACTCCTATATATTTGCAATACGTACATATGGATATTGTTTAAATTAATGTTTTTGTGGAATTTCTCCCCCCCCCAATAATCAGAAAATACTTTTGGAAATTGCTCACTTATTTTCTGACGTTTGATTATCAGCTGAAGTCAGCCACAGTAAAATGAGAGAAGGTCCAGTGTTTATGGGTTGCTGCCACCTAAAGATGGGAAGTAATAAGGACACCCTGAAAAAAACCTTTAAATAGCTTTCTCTGCATTATATCATGTCTTCAACAACAAATGGCCAGCAAGGGGGGGGGGGCTTGCTATTGCAGTGAGGAATTGCCATAGCTTACTTATGCCTCTGCTGCCTCCCCCCGAAAGCTGGAGCCAATGTAGCATAAGTGTGGACATGGCATAGCCTATGTGGGCAGCCTCAAATAAGAAGCCAGGAAGAGGAAGGGAAATGGGGTTAATTTGACACTGGGGGAGTTTTTAAGATGCAAGTAGGAAGGAACTAGAGAGACATGAAGAGAAATTTCTCTAGAAGTGTGAATATTCCTTCTAGGTATGCAATTAGACAAGAGCTATTTTGCACCAGAGATTTGTCAAGGCTTCAGCTGTCTGGTGAAACAGAAGGCAACTGCTTTCCTCAAGCAGAAGTGGTTGGGCCTGAACTATTTTCTCACATGTGAAGCTTCTTCACAATATCACTGCCTACAACGGTTAGGTTTTTGAACTTTGAATTTGTCCGCTATTTCCCTCCCAACCACCACCACGTTTCATCCTATCCAGTAATCTTTGGTGCAGATTGTGTCCCCACTCTGCTCCCACCATAACCACTATTACTAAAAGAACATAATAGATTTGTAATATTTCAGGCAACTATTCTAACTCTTACATAGCATAGTGTGCTATGATCTTTGGCAGAGGACCAAAAATTTGGTTTTTAATAATAAATCTCCTTCCTTAATGCTGTTCTATCTTCCAGTTAACATAAGTGGCACCAGGGGCTTGAACTGGGAATCCTGCAGCTGCTAATTCCACTATTTTTGTTTGCTGTGTTGCAGATTGGGCATGGCTTAAGCCCCAAGGCAGAAATAGGGCCTTAGAAGCCTCTGGCTGATACTTCACCTTTTCCCTGAGCAAAACATCCCATGGCCTTCTTCCAATGCTGCCTTTCAGTTTAATTCCTATACCTTCTTTCTATCCATGCTGCTCTTTGCCTCAGATACTAACATGCCTGTATCCTGCATGTTTGTCATTTGTCATACTTACCCTTATGAAAGGTTCCCTGCTTAAACAACTCAGGGTCACACCCTTGACTCCTTTCATGTTTTCCTCTAAGCAGACATCAGTTGCTTGTTGAGTTCAGTTTGTCTTTTGTTGACAGCCCAACCTGGCTGCTAACCATGTTCCCTATGGTTGACTTGGGCAGTATCTTTTGTGATAATCAGGAGCACATTTCTGGTTAAAACCTGCTTGGGGCCTGGCCCTTAAGAGTGCAAAGTGCATCATAATGCATTCTATAGCAGAGGCTATGTCTTTAAAAAGTAAAAATTAAATACTGATTTTTAAAAGTCAGTGCACAATATGGAGCTCTTAACAGCAGAAAGATGTTTCTGTCGGGAGGGGGAAGGTAGATTAAATATTTAAGAATATGAAGAATTATACAGTAAAAGACCATGTGAAAGTTATGAAATTAGCCATTTCATAACTTTCTTGTGGTCTTTTACTGTATAATTTCTTAGACTATTATTTCCAAATCCCACACCCCATTGTAATATTTAAAATCAACAGCAGGTTGGTTTTAGGGGAAAGGCCTGCAGGTACTCCATTTTCAAATTATCAACTTGGTTTGCAAGTTGAACGATACAAGAGAGCAACAGAAGTTAGATAATTCACTGTTCAGCTATATAAATTTGAAAGAATGGCTTAAATCACATGACTGTCCCAGTTAGGGATCGGATACGAGGTAACGGGCAGCACTATAAAGCACTGCTTTTTATTAAAGCTCAGAACCATAATGCTAAGCTTTGTACTTGGAAGTTGTGCAGTACACCTCAAGTCTGTATCTGGAACCAACTCTGATATACAAATCTTTTAATCTCTTCTCCAGGAATACACTGGAAATAATAGTTGCAGTAAATTTATATTATGTGCAATCAGACTGTCCTGGTGAATTCTTTTTATCCACTGATTTTGTAGGGCAGCCTTCCTAACAGTTCACATTAGGACTTCCTAATAGGTCAAGTTAGGACTTCGGTAAAAAAAACCCAACCATGCAGGATTTCATGTTTACAGTCATATAAATAGATCTGATAATGCTGTCACATGGGGAAAGATTAGTTTCATTTTCTTGGAATAAAGAGGAGCAGGCAAAGCTCATCTCTGCTGTGGTTATAACACACCCTCTCCTGCTTTTGAAATTTATGTAATGGCAGTGCAGCCATAAGGTATTGGTTTCATCCAGCATAGATTAAATCTAAATCAAAGGCTACAACTACATTTCCAGATATAGAATCAGCTGTTTGATAGTCTACCACTTCCTCTTACTGTACAATCTTGCAGATATTAGGCTATTAACTAGCCTTTCCCAGTATGGGAAAATATTTGAATCGCTAAGCTCCAGAAAAGAGACTTGAGTATCGTCGGTCTGTTATTAAGGACACATTTGAGGAGGTGCTGAAATAGGAGCATAAGGTTAGAGAAGGATATGTAAGACAAGAAGGCTGGTGTCCATGACAGTCAAATACTCAGTGCCATAAGCTTATTCCACAGAGTCCTGGTTTTGAACTGCAGCTTTGATTCCTGGGGTAGACTCCTCTCGGGAAGTTTGCTACGTCACAGTTCCAAACTCCAGCTTAAGCAGAAAGACTACCTATTGAGTGTGAAGAGTTATTATTACAACACTAAGCATAGCTCTCTTGAATTTTTAAAGAGGCACAACACAGGAACTCTCCACTACAGTATTGTCTGTCCACAGTCATTGCATCCAAAGGAAGTGTTCAAACACACACAACAAAAACTGTTCCGCAAACAGTTGAAAAAGAACACTCCAAGGATAAGATTGCTACTTTCTTTTGCTGACATTCTGCCTTACATGCAGAAACTCAACAGGCTGCTTTCTCCATTGCTTTTTCTTCATTTCACGCCTGCGAATGGAGCCTGGAGATAATTCAGAACCAATAAGGGAGGGTATACAAAAGATCCATTTATTTGGTGGATAGAACATTAATATATAGAAAAAGCTATAGCTAGAGTTTCTCTTACACCTTCTGGCCTTCCTCTTAGCCTATATTCCCGCAATTAATGAGAAGCAATTCTAAATCTTAAAAAAACCCACAAATCTAACCACAATCCACCCACTTTTTGGTCTAGCATTTATTAAGTCAATACTGATAATGCCAAGAAAGACTTATAGTTAAAATATACCAGTATTGTACAGCCAAATATTAATCCCAATTTAGTGACTATAATACAAGGAATCATAGAATTGGGAGGAACTCTGAGGATTGTCTAGTCCAGGGATCTGCAAAGCAGGCATCTCAACAAATATGTATGCTTTAGTCTCACTAATGACAGCAGCATGCATGGGGCACCTGAAACTACTGTAGGAAAAATTAAATTAGACACACTTCAGTCATATTAACATTTTATTAGTGAGTTTCTTCCAGCACAGTCTTAGGAGTTACTATCCTTTTAAATGAGTTAGCAAGCCAACTCTGAGTGGAAAATAAAGTATGAAACACTGCCAACTCCCCCCGCAAAACACAGAAATAATGGCTAAATAACCTTAGGAACTGTCTGCTTTCTGGAAAGAAATGCTTAACTTGCTAAATAAACTTGCTAAAAGAAACCAAAGCATTGGGAGAATAATTCCTTCGTCTCTTTCTTTGGCATTTCTACCTAAACCTGTTAACAAAGTCATTTTGTTAACAGGAGAGTGGCTGGTTTGGACAAAACACTAAATTAGTCCTTCCCCTTGTTCTCTGGTATGGCTGTGAGGGGGAGTTGGTTATCATAACTAGTGGTTATCATTAATGAATACAAAACAAGCTTGAACCCTAAACTGTGCTTAATCTAAAACAGAAGCTTTCAATTTCTTCCTCACCATCACACTGGAGAAGGAGAAGAGAGCACACAAGCCCAGGGGGAGTCTAGGCTCATTTTCAAAGCACTAAACCAGGGATAGAGAATGTGTGGTCCTCCAGACATTTTTGGACTCCCCAGCCAGCATGGCAAATGATCAGTGATGATTCGAGTTGTAGGCCAATAGCTGGAGGGCCACAGATTCACCGTCCTGAACTAAACCATAGTTTAGTGTTACGTCCAAACATAACCAGTGTCTGATTTCTCATTCTATAAATACTGACAAGGTACTCCAAGAGAAGACTGTAAAAACCCAAAGGGAAAAAGGATGATCATATCACATTAAAAACAACAACACCACTGGGCTGGAACATGAATTGCCAATACAGGCGTCTACTGATGCTTATCACATGTTTGTTATACCCCATGTATCAAGCCTCTGCTTTGCTGCCAGTTGGGGATCCATGAAAGTTCCCCACATGTGAAATTAATTTCTTAATGCCTTGTGTGGAGCAGTCCTGAAATTGGGGCCCTAGGGTGTGAAGAATAATAGGGGCATGTGCTAAAAACCAAAACAAAGCCTTACATAATGCTTCTTAAAGCATTAGCCTATTCATTTTAATTCTTAATACCTCTCCCCTACTGTTACAGCTCAGAATGAGACTGATAAGGCGTTCCTGCACCATTAAACAACATATCTTGACAGGATAGCGTCTTTCTTCACTAGTTACATGACAGGCCTAGTCTCCAAAATGCTCTTGTCGTCACACCACTATTTTAAAACCCTAGAAAAATGTTTAGGTCACAAGGTGGAAACCTTTAGCTGTTGTATTTCCTTATGCATGCGTGAAATATTATGTGATAATTACACCATATATGAAGGTCTGCCCAGTCTATCAGCTAATATGATTGTGTGTTCAGTCCGTAATTCAGTGATGGGGAAACCTGTGACCCACCAGGTATTGATGGGTTGTAACTCCTATCATCTCTGACCATTCACCACACTGGTTGGAGTTGACGGAAGCTGGAGCCCAACAACATCTCATATTTGACTACTGAAAGGATTCCAATGAAAGTCAAGACACCCAGGAAAAGTATCAACAATAATCTGTATAAATGTATTCAAAGCCCTAAATTAACTTTATTGGTACAATACTGGGACTCAGATGGTGATTCAAGCACAAGTAAATTAAAGAATTAGTCTGCCTCTCACCAACAAACCTGGAAGTGTTATATTTTAAAATGATAAATCAAGAAAAATATTAAACACGTGTTAACAGCAATAAGCCATATTTCAAGTTCTTTTGCAACATCTGATATTTAGGCACCTGTTTTCAAAAGCACTACATCTGCCCTCACTTGATTTTAGTGATAGAATTTTTTGTACTTCTTGAAAAGATGTCTTCAATATCTGAAAGCCTTCTAAATAGACAAAGACTCTTCTTTCCATGAAAAAAAATGGAGCACTCACTTTGAACAAGGCTACAGAAGAAATATGCAGAATGAGCAATATGGGAAGTATAACCACACTGTCAGTTCCTCCCTTCCAAGGGAGAACTGTAGAAACTGTAACCTTGTACTGAATTTGGAGAAATCTTAAAATTCTTAGCAGCCTCTCAAAATTACAGTCCATCGTTTTCTCTAGGGAATGCCACATAGTTAAACCAGTTTAAAATGGTTTTACTTGCATAGTACAGTGGTAAGCAGAATTAAAATCAGGTACCAAGTAGCATCAGCCATACTCGGATATAGATACATAGAAAAGCTATCCTTGAAGTCTCAACATTATAACAATCTCTGACCATACTTCAAAAATAAGTATTCGATGTATTACGTGACATAGGTTATGTTAGGGTGCCACAACAATTGTTTATTGTGACAGGAAGGAGCCAAGTCCCTGCTCCTCACATGACTCTTACATTAAGGAGATGCTTACTCTGCCAGGTTACTTTTGTAGGTAGTACCCCAGATCAATCACCTCTGCCAAGAATCTTAAACTATTCCAAAAATCACAACGTAGTACCTACTCATGAATGAGGTAACTGCAAAGCTTCTTCTCTGCACGCCAGCTATCAATTTCATCAACCCACGAACAGTTCATTAAAGAAAGCATTGTATCATAGCCAAAATGGGCAGCTAGGAATCTCCTTCCTAGGGAGTACTGGCTGATAAGAGATAACAAACACTGCATAGCAACTAACAGAATGCACAAACACTTCCAAGAGGAATTAAAACTGCTCAAGGTAGGGGGTATAAACACTCAGAGGCCTCAACCCTAGTGAAGAAAATCTAGGAAAAATTTAGAAAATCCAGAAAAACAAAATCTTGTAGATCTTAAGTGCTGAGTACACTGCCCTATTCCTTAGGCCAATAGACTGCCGTCCTAAATTATCCACCTTTGCCACATCCCAGAAGCTTGTGCAAAACACTCTTTAACCTATGGATGCAGCAGGGCACAAAGCCTTTCGTTCTTCCTGTGGTTATTTAAATTCCTGCACGAAATCCAGGCATTCACTAGTACTATGATACAGTGAGATCATGGTACCTCTTGCTGTACAACGTGGAGAACTGTGAATGAATGCTGATATTCAGAAAACATGGTTAAAATTAATTGGATTAATTCCCAGCAAAAAAAGTAATCAGATAAATAAATTAAAAAATCTACAGTGCACTGAAATTATACTGCATTTCAAAAAGCTACCCCACATATTCACATTTTGAGACATCCTTACTAGGTTAAGACACATTAAAATGAAGTATTTCCCATTAAAGATGTCAAGAAATGGGATTTAGTTTTATTGCATGACGTTGCATAAGAAAGTATATTATTGAAAACTGTAAGGCATCATGCAATTATCCGTAAGCTGATTCATTACTATTCTTTGAGAGGTGGTTATACACTCTACATTTATAAAACCAGTTTTGAAAAAAGTACATAAAAATTTAACATGATGAGCATTATATATGACCAACAAATCTGCAGAGTTGAGCTGTTAAAAAGTGCATTAAAAAAAACCATACTGAGCTAGAAAGTCACTGTCACACAAAAAAGGACTGCAGACAAGAGACAAGCTATGAATCCCAAAAGAAAGTGGTTTTATAGGACTAGAGACTAATGTTACAAGATCCAAATTGACAAACTTGCTTAAAATCCATTTTCAGTCTTTACACTTAAAATTTAACACAATTGATACAATAATAAAAAAAATACGCTATTGTAACCAAAGTCTATTGAGTTCAAGTTATGTACACTGAGAGATCAAATAATGAACAGGCTTGGGATAGTATGTACTAATGTGATTTTGGCATTAATCAATGTATTGTGCCATCCAACGAAATCCTTCACCATAGCCTTGCCTCTTTAACACACTGCACATGAAGACTTCTAAGGGTCGGGTGTTCAATTCTTTCACTGAAACATTCCCCTGAAAATGACATAAAAAAGAAGAAGGTGGGTCAATAAATTGAAACTCAATTCAGCCTTATAGTTCTTTTCACCTCTACCCCTCTCTTCTTTGGGACTGTCTTCAACAGTTAACACCAGGCTTCCTCAGCCTCGGCCCTCCAGATGTTTTGAGACTACAATTCCCATCATCCCTGACCGTTGGTCCTGCTAGCTAGGGATCATGGGAGTTGTAGGCCAAAAACATCTGGAGGGCTGAGGTTGAGGAAGCCTGGTTAACACACAACTGCCTTTTGTTTTGCTTTCTCAATAAAAACTCATTTTCTGGGAAAACTCAGGTTCCATCTCTGTTGCACCCACCCTGCAAGTACCTTACAAGGGTGATCTGCTACCTATGCTGTACTGCTGTATGTTTTGGTTCTGTGCTAGTTTTGAGGCCTCTCCACTATACTAACAGGATTTCTCGCCTCTAGCAGAATAAAGTGCAGAGAGTTGAACTAGATGACCAACAGGACCCCTTCCAACTTTACAATTCTGTGATTCCATAAAGACACAACCACTGAGGGAATAGGTTCTCCTAGCGCTAGAAGGCAAGTGTTTTTCTCTCCATTGTCATTCATGTTCAGGGAGGGCTTATTTCCTGAGCATAGAAAAGTACGTTTCAGATGAGTGGGTGGTAACATTTTCAGAAGCACAAGAAATAATAGAGAAATCTGCTTCTGGTATTCAAAATTGCCTATTGTAAATGACACAACCCAAGTTATAATTATATTTAATTAAAATATTTAAAATAAACTTTGTTTAAAATTGGAACCCTTCGGTTTATTGCTAGAGGCATTAGCAAGAACATTTCACAAGGCAACAATTCAGATTTCCATTAGACAATTAGCTCTAAAAATTCTGTATTATATTAAAAGTACAATTTAACAAAGCCAGCTTGGCTTTATGGTGAGCAAGTAATCTGTAAAGGCTTACTTGTTAGTGACTTATTTTAAAAAGGAATCTATGAAGTCCTGTAAGCATCCTTTTAAAAATGCATCTTGAGAACAATATGGAACCGACAAAGAATTACCATACTTTTCCGTGTATAAGACTAGGTTTCCCCCCCTAAAAATAATGTCAAAAATTAGGGGGTGTAATACTCTGGGCCATCTCCCCTTATTTTCTTAAATCTGAGTCCCAAAAAATAGGGGGCGTCTTATACATGGGGGCATCTTAGATGGAAAAATATGATATATATTTCAGTAAAGCAGACCACAAAAACACTGGGGGGAGAAAATGATAGGCACATTGAAATTACGTATTTTGAAGCAATGGGAACAGGACAATTAATACCTTTCCTGTTGTCTGGCCATACAAACCGAACATCTCTCGTAGCCCTTCTTCACTGATGGCTTCTGGTCTGTCAATCTTGTTACCAAGAATTAGGATAGGCACGTTAGCAATGGTTTCATCTGTCATAAGTGCCTATGTAGAGAGGAAAGACACATGCGTTAGGTTTTATACATTCACATACAACATATATGAAGTGAAACTTCAAAGAGTCAATGGAGAAAAGATGGAGAAAATTTTGACACCTTTAAAAATATTTCATTGAAGGATCTCTCTCACTCTTACATCAAGGCCAAAATATATTAAAAAATAGAGAGAATGGCCACATATTAATCAACCATAACATGGCTTTCCTCCATTAAACTAAACAAAGATTCATTAATTAACCAGGGAAGGAAAATAAACCTTTACAGAACTGCATATTTAACAAATGTATAAAACCTGTAGAAAGATTCCACTGAGCACATGGATTGATAATATGGACAGACTAGCCACATACGAACGAATTGCATGTCGATGTAAACTAAGAATGGATAAATATGAAGAAATCTGGAAGGAATATTTAAGCAACAAGGTGGGCAGTGGTGGGAAGTAGGGGGAGGAGAGGTGGGGAAATATTGTTAAAAAGGTGTAGTCATAGGTATATCAGTATTCAAATCTGAATTGTCAAATTGTGTTATTAGTGTTATTATGGTTTTTGTTGTATGTGTCTTTTGGTGTTGTTGTTTGTATTGAAAAAATGATTAAATTTTTTTAAAAAACCACAAAAAACCCAGTAGAAATACCAAATATGATAGAAAGCTGTGAAAATCAAATGCAATCAGATAATCCAGTGACGGCTTGTGCCTAATGAGACTGGTGGGGCAGAAGGCAGGGAGACTAACAGTAGGTGGAGCCAGAGCCAACCAATTCTAGTTTTGTTCCCTTCATCCTATTTTCAGAGTTCTACGGGGACAACCTATAGACCAGGGGTCAGCAACCTTTTTCAGCCAGTCCACTGTCCCTCAGACCATCTCGTGGGCCAGACTATATTTTGAAGAAACAAATAATGAACAAATTCCTATGCCGCACAAATAACCCAGAGATGCATTTTAAATAAAAGAACACATTCTACTCATGTAAAAACACGCTGATTCCTGGATCATCCGCGGACCGGATTGAGAAGGTGATTGGGCCGCATCTGGCCCCTGGGCCTTAGCAGAGGCTTGACAACCATATGTCAGGAGCGCTCTGATGGTGTTTCCTGCTTGGCAGAGGTTTGGACTCGATGGCCCTTGTGGTCTATTCCAACTCTATTATTCTATGATTCTAGGTTGCCTACCCCTGCTATAGACTAAGGAGAATTAAGCTGACACGTAGTACCACCCCTGGGGTGGTTTTAAATAGGAAGACTAACACTGGTGGGGCAATGTCCCATTTGCTCTTATGCACCAGTCTCCAGCAAGATAACCTTTCCCCAAAAAGTTCTCTTTTTATTTTTATTTTATTGAGTTGTAGGGTCATATATGATGCTGTAGCCATACAGATGCAATGCCCACCCCCGTCCCTGCAAAACACAGACTCTCCCTCTTTTCTCCATCCATCAAAATGTCACACACTTCACTAGTATTTTACAATACCAAGTACATTACTAACTCACATCAATTTCTTGCTTTGATTCAGCCAATCTTTCACGATCTGCACAATCCACCAGAAAGACAATCCCATTGATGGCAGGCAGATAGTTTTTCCACACTCTGCGAGCTAATAAAAGAGAGTTATAAAGGAGCTGCAAGAGGAAATTATCTGTTATTCTTCTAACTCTATTCATAGTAACACCTCATTAAGGAGCAGAAACTTTAAAAAGGGCATTAGGAGATATATTTAAAAGCTTTTTTAAAGCCCACTCTCTTTTGTTCTACAGTGTGAAGTACTGGGTTTAAAACTGAAAAACCATATTAATTTTACTGCAAGAAACAGCCTTAATAGCCATAAATCCACTTCTAAACGTGTGCTACAGTACATGGCTTGCAGGTTTTAAAAAAGAATGCTAAACTTTGTGGTAGAACTTAAAAAAACACAACAAAATGGTCGTATCACCATTAGAAATATTTATCTCCTAAACACGTGTTTATGGAAGACAATCTTACTTGGCTAGGAGTGATCGCCAAAGAAGAAGAAGATTTATCTAATAAAAAATTAATCCACCCCCAAGACAATAACATATTTTCTGTTTCAGCCTCTAATAAATTCTAGAAAATGCCCTCTTTGATCCACCAGATACCCAGTATCCATGCTGAAGTATTTAAACACAAAACCAAGTAATAGTTGAGGATCACTTCACTGTAAGGGTGGGGGGTTGTATCCAATGTAGTCATTGTTATTGTGGAACTTCCTCTTTCTCTCCTTTCTTCCAAATCTTAAGAGCCTACCAAATCTGCTCTGGGGGTTCCCCAATCCCATTGGAACAGATTTTGGGGTCACAGGGGTAGGAGAGGAAGGGGGAATTCCATTGCATGAGCCGAAGTTCTTCCAGGAACACAATGAACTGCATTGGATACAACTATTAACTTAAATCCACTTGATCAAATTGCTGCTTTAACCTTTTTTTATTGTGTATAATGAAAACAGAGGTGTTTCACAACTTTAAGCTCTCTAAAGAATCAGAGACTAATTAAAGGCACACATTGACTTTTATTTTAGTATTGCATTGAAAATTAAATGCTGCAATAATCCTAGAATCCTGTTAGAAAATTCTATCACCATAAGTGTAATGCACTGCTTCCATTCTATTAAGTACAAATATTGCAGTTGAAGCATCCTGTAGCTCACACTCAAGTCAGTGTGTTGGTTTTTCTTTATCTTAAAGTGGTCAGTGAACGGGGTTGGTTAATTGAAGCTCACAGGTGTATGCTTGCAGTTTGACCTACTTACCTGCACACCTGTGATCTCTTGACTTTTTGCCTAATTAGAAAGGGAGTTACTTTCTGCACCGAATGCAGGAAGGGATGTGATAGGATAACTGATTATTTGAAAACTGGATTTAAGTTGATCATATGTTTTGTATGCTGCTGGTGAGGAGTGGTGATGGCTTGCAGCGTTTGGCTGTTACATTTTCAAAATTAAAACTAAGCAAAGATATTGCGGACAGCCTTTTATTTCTACGCTCCAGTCGCTGTGCACACTCTGTGTTGATGAAAAAGTCCAACATCCCACACACCTTACATGTGTATATAACAGAACAAGTAGACTACAGTAAAAATTTAATAAAATCAGGAATGTTTTCAGAATTGAAAATACACAACCCTCTTGCAATGCAATAACTTTTGATGTGCAACCAAGGAAGCTTAACATGTTAAAAGAAGCCTTCTGCATGTTGGCATCACTTACCTTGGGTATGTCCGCCTAGATCAAAAGTAGTGAAAGTCATACCAGCAATTGTCAGCTCTTCTGCAGCTGCAGAAACAGAAAATACTATTTTTCAAAACTCTATCTTACAGCAAACTATTCTCTAGTAAAGGTAATAATCATACTGATAAACCATATTGCATTACAGTGGTACCTCGAGTTACAAACGCTTCAGGTTACAAACTCGGCTAACCTGGAAGAGTTACCTCCAGTTGAGAACTTTGCCCCAGGATGAGAACGGAAATTGTGTGCCGACGGACCTCCGGAATGAATTAAGTTCGTTACTAGCGGTACCACTGTATAGAACAAGGTGATGAAACTGACCCTATACATGCTTCCTCAGAAGTAAATGCTACTAATCACCTGCAAGCGTGCGTAAGGTTGCAGTCTAACTCACACTGAACTGAAGAGTTTATTCTGGTTCCCCATTCCTGATCTAGTTCAATAGTCTACTAAAGTCCTGAGATTTGAAGCAGCACTGGGCATATTACAGTCGTACCTCGGGTTACAGACACCTTGGGTTACAAATATTTCGGGTTACAGACTCCGCTAAACCGGAAGTAGTACCTCGGGTTAAGAACTTTACCTCAGGATGAGAACAGAAATTGTGAGGCGTCGGCACAGCGGCAGTGGGAGGCCCCATTAGCTAAAGTGGTATCTCAGGTTAAGAACAGTTTCAGGTTTTAAGAACAGACCTCCGGAACGAATTAAGTTCGTAACTAGAGGTACCACTGTATGAGAGAAAGGATATATTGACTTACTTGCATGTAGTGTGGGGACATGTTGACCCAGTCTGCCATCTTTAAGCATATGTAGGAGAGTCGTTTTCCCAGCATTATCCAAACCAAGGAATACTAGTTTACCAGTTTTTTTGTACAGTCCTGGAAAAGATAAAAGTATTTGATGAGTAAGTACTAATTTCCACAAGTGTCTCATCATAATAGAATGTCTGATGATTAAGTTTTGCTAAATGCTTATTTAGGATGGAACACAACAATTTCCCTATCATCACATAATCTCAAAACATTCTACATATGTAAATACAGCCATGCAAGTATTCCGGATCAGGTTACTCTAGAAAAGATGGAAAGAGGATGACACCTTTAAGACAGGATATCATTCTAGCTCAAGTTTATCTGCTAAAACTAAGAGAAGAATGCAGTACAACAAGCGTAGGAGGCTCCATCCAAGATCTCCACAACATTTGGGAAGGGATCATAGGTCAGCGACAGAGCTCATGCTTGGCATGCTAAGCTTCTAGGATTATTCCCTGACAATTCCAGATAAAAGCATCCAATATCAAGAGATGTGCAAAACCTCTGTTTGATATCTTGGGGAGCCACTGCCAGAGTAGACTATTGAACTAGATCAGGAATAGTGAACCTGCAGCTTTCTGGATGTTGCTTGGCTTCAGTTCCCATCAATTCCAATTTAGCATGGCCAATGGTCAGGAATAATGGGAGTCGAAGTCACTTGGGTATGTATATCTACATTATGAATGTTTGTGTTTTAATCCAGGCAGACATTCTCCTTCGCTGAACAACAAGTCAGCCCTCAGATGTTTCCTAACACATTACTATGATTATAATGCAATTATAGTTATGTTTCTAAAATGCCATTTTTTAATTTAAGCCCGTTTGAATAATGAATAATAGAGAATAGGAGTCAACTGAACTGAGTTTTACTGAGCCAACTAGGCTGACCGTGAAAAAAGAAATGAGAAAGGGAAAGCTTCGGAGCTGCACACAAATCTTCAAGCAGAAATTGCAAAGATGAAAAGTGATAAAACATCTGTTGAGTTCTAAGTTATTCCTTTCTCAGTGAGTTCTCAGTCAATTACCCCTCCCCCACAGTGCCTATCTCCTTTTCAGAAACATTTAAAATTACTAATCATGTATTGCTCTGAAGGCCTGCAGAATGAAGTCAGTTTTGAGTGTGCTTTTCCCTCAATCATAAGAAAATGTAGCCTGAAAGGCTAAAAAACAACCTTCCATTAGCTGCATCATCACAAAATGAATGGAAAATGAATGCGTTTCAGAGCCTACAATAATACATCTTAGCTTAAAATTCATGCTTTATCCATGTACTGATTTTTTAAGGTGAGTCATAGAATTATAGAGTTGGAAGGGACCATGAGGGTCATCTAGTCCAACCCCCTGCAATGCAGGAATCTTTTGCCCAATGTGGGGCTCAAGTCCACAACCCCAAGCTTAGGAGTCTCATGCTCTACCGACTGAGCTAACAGGGGTTATTCACTTTTAACAACTTACCCATAAACGGTGAATTTTGACACTTGACTGGGAAGGGCCATAAATCCCAGGTGTCTCCACCTAGGGTTGGGAGAGACCCGTACCTGAAACCCTCGAGGGCCATTGCCAGTCAGCATAGAAAATCCTGGACTAGATGAATGGCATAAGGCAGCTTCCTATGTTCTCTCTGAGCAGCTGCAGGGGATTTCAGAGAGCTCTGCTTACCCGGCAAAATTTCTGAACATCCAGTCTAGGAATAAAAGACGCTACCTTATACTGTATCAGACCATTGGTCCATCTATAGCCAGTGCTGTCTATACCAACTGGCAGCAGGATTGCTTTTTGAACTTTTGCATGCAAAATATGTGCTTGAACCAATGAGCCACAGCCCTTCTCGTAGTTACTGCTGCCCCTGAGGAGGAGGAGGGTTCCCACCAGAGGGACCCAATCCTCAGAAGCATGTAAAAGGCAGCAGGTGATGACAGCCACTAATGCTCCTCCTGAGCACCAGGGGGGCAGTGGTAGGAGTTCCCAGGGTGCCGGGGCCTCAGCTCTGAAAGTCTAGCTAACTTCACAAATGATGCTTCTCACACATAGACTATCTCTGTGTAAGAATTATGAACACAATACTATTTTAGACACATTCAGGATGTGATGAAAAGCACCAGCAGACCTTTAGATGAACTCCTGTGTGTCATAAACATAATGATGTGACACATTTGCTTCAAAATTGCAGTGAAGCTCTTCACACTGCTGGTCCTAAATGGTTTATACAATCTATATTTTTAGCTTTTGCTGCCCTGCTCTTCGGTTCAACAGATTCTCAAATCGGCTTATGATGAAATTTAAAATCCACAATGAAAATCAGGAAAACAACAACACTTTTTAAAAAAGACAGCAACCACCAAAAGCAGAGCTTTTAAAAAGACCTAATAGCTTTAAAAAGCTCGTGTGTGTGTGTGTGTGGTGGAATAAAAATCTTTTTCATCTCTCCTTTCCTCCCCAGACTTGCAACCAGGGAAATAATTTAAAAGTGAGGAAGCTACCTCAGAAAAGACCTATCCAGGGCCTGTACCACATTTGAGAAGGTCCCTAGTATAGTGCCCTCCAGTGTGCATACAAACACCACCATTTCTGTTTCCCCAATGAAATCTGCCATTTTAGTTTCCCACAATTCCTTGGACCAACACTATGTCAGGGTTGCTCTGGGGCATCCCTAACGGTTGGCCATGCCAGTTGAGACTGATGGGGATTTGGAGGGTGTAAAACCAACTGGAAGGTAACAGGTTCTCTATCCCTCCCTTAAACTGTATTTGAAAATATACTGGGATTTTTTTTTAAAAAAAGAATGGATTATAATTCATTCTGTTCCAGGCAGTAATGTAACTACTGCATTTTGAACCAACTGTTGTTTCTAAACAGTCTTCAAAGGCAACCCCAAGTACAATGCACTACAGTAATGCAAACAGTGGGGTTGTGCTGTGTTTGCAGATAGTTTTTGAAATATATATATGTATGTATGTATGTATGTATGTATGTATGTGTGTAAAGTTAAAGTGATTTATTCTTCTCAATAAGATGTATTTTCCTCCTTTAGGAGTTTACAAATGCGCCATCTTAAACCATTTCAATGTCCAGAGCTGCAATCCCATGCATCTTTATTTCTGAGCAAGGCAAGCAAGCCCCATTACATCGTTTAAATTTACTTCTGAGTAAACATGTGTAATCTGCAGTTCAGTGCTGGTTTGTACAATTTATTATGTTTGTCATGCTAGTGAGTAACCTAGATAGCTTTAAGAGGCAGTCTGAGTTCATCTGTTACAAAAGATCTGCCCCAAGCAAAACTGCGGCTCATAATGATTTGAAGGACAAAGTTCGCTGCTGCTAAGTGTACTATGATACAAAGGTGCCTTTATTGCTGCCAAACTGGACAAAGTCAGAAGGCCTATCAGGGGTGCAGGCAATTCAGCAGGGATAAGAGCATTTTACAATAACCAGTGGCAGTTTCAATCAATTAGAAAAGGTGTGTTCTCTCTTCAGGAAGACTTGCGAACAAGTACATTGTTAAGGCTTCGACAGGCCGCTTTAACATTTTATAGACCAAATTGAAAATGCTACTACATTTTAGTTTTTAATTGAGGCTTTATTACTATCCCCAATTCAAGGTATATATTTGCGGTATAGAGGCAGTGGTCAGTCTGTAATGAGTAGACCATAGTGATTATTAACTAGTGCAGGCTTCCTCAACCTCGGCCCTCCAGATGTTTTGAGACTACAATTCCCATCATCCCTGACCACTGGTCCTGCTAGCTAGGAATCATGGGAGTTGTAGGCCAAAAACATCTGGAGGGCTGAGGTTGAGGAAGCCTGAACTAGTGCATTGTAGAGGATTGGACAAGATGACCGTTGGGGTCGCTTCCAACTCTACAATTCTATGATAGTACTTAGTCACTTAATTGTACTGCATGGACCAATGGTCCGACTCTGTATAAAGCAGGTTCCTATGTTTTTATTAACAGCACAACACGTCTTACAGTTGGCATCTTTCAGAAAAGAAAATCAGCTCTCAGAAGGATGCTGCCCAATTTGGCAGCTGTCAAGCAGTTTCCTTTCTCACATTGCTGACTGAAAGTACTTTGCTTTCCACTCCAGCTTCCCATGTTTTGCAGAGCAAGGGAGAAGAACATGGCACATGGAGTCATAACAGTGCTGTGTATTTCTGTGGCTCCCCTTCCACTGTAACTGCCAGGAGCAGGTTAATTTATTTGTCTAGTAAAGATAGGTGGCACGGTACAGCATAGGCTAAGGAAAAATTAAACCAGAAATGGAACATTAGTGAGGTGGACTGCTAGCAGATTAGTATCATGACAGTTGATTGTATCCAAGGCCGTCCTTCCATCCACAGACAGCTCTCTGATCAGCAGGGGTTTCTTTGTAGGCAAGATGGAGGGAGGTATATTTTGCTGGTTTCCCTCCCCTCCATAGTTCTCTCTGCTCCCCAAACTGGAGGGTCCCACAAGTCTCTGAAACAGATGGGTAATTGAATAGAAAGGGAGAATCTGCCCCCATCCACCCAATACCTCTCCTGCTTCCATTCATGAAAGCCTTTGCTGGATCAAAGAGCCATCCATGAATATATGGATATAATCATACAGTAATCAGAAGTGTCCATTCCATATGTAGATGTCTTACCTAAAAACTGTAGTACACTACTGAAACCACTGTAAATCCAGTCAAATATAAAGGACATGTCCAAATCTTGCAGGTTCTGAAAGAAATCAAAAGAGAAGCCCCATAGATCAAATGGCATTAACATTCTACTGAAATAACGTTGAAAATGAATAGAGAAATGTGGAGTACTTGACAGAAATAACATATCCAGAGATAAATCACTTTTATTATTCAGTTGTGAAACCACCAATACTGATGGATTGGAATCTTAAAAAATATTCTGGAGAGGCAAACTTTCTGTTTTGATGCTTTAAAAAAGAAAGAAAGATTAAGGCCACATTCCACTGAAATGCACAACTAGTTCTTCATGTCCAACAGGGTTTGAAGTGTCATTTTTCAGGTCCTCCATCCCTTGCACTCGGAATAGGTGTGCGCATGCATGAATGTGAGACCCATATAATCTGCTCACCTACAGCCTTTCTCTGCAAGAACAGTACAACGTAGAAAGAAAAGCTGCAGTCTTCTGTGACTTTCTGTGACTAATGCAACTTGGAGTGCTTGTGGGAACAGTTCTTCTAGCATAAATCTGTTCATCAGAAGATATCTCCAAAAGGCATTTTGAAGTAAGTTTTGTGGTATGCCAAGAATCTGTACTACACAAAAGACTCAATGGGTATGTGGAAACCCCTTGACTTCATCTGAAATAACTTGGATCCAAGTTTACAGCAGCTATTGTAATATAATTGGATCATGTAAAAATAAAAGTGAATTGACTGTGTGGCTACAGTCCAGATACACACATATTTAGTGGGGTTTCCAAGGTCTGCTAATGTGGAAGTGCTCCATTAATGCACAAAAGTCACTTCCCCCCTTGTATTATTAAGAATGGAGAGAGAACAGGATTGGATTCAGAAATCACAGAATCCAGAAGGCACAAACAGGGAATTGAGTAGAACCCAAAGTGCAGAAACGCCAGTTTCATCTTTTTCCAAATAAAAGCATGTATCTTCTTACACAATTGGTAACATTGCTTAAAATGTACACAACCAATTATACTTTTTAATCTCACTCTAAGACTAGCATTGGTTCCACATCCCAAACTGTTATTGTGGCACAGCATAAATCTAGTTTGGTTCCAGACTTCAATGAATGGTAAGGAATATCACATCCAGAGGAGATAAAGAGGTATCATCTCTGCCAAGGGATTGTTGACCCCTTCTTTGATGTTTTACGAAATAAGCATTTACTTTGATAAAAGTGGTGAAATACAATGCCTTAGAGTTTAACACTCCTCCCTTCCATATGAAAATTTGGAAGTACTTTTTGTGAATCATAATTTAAATTCATGGCTATTCATGTTTATTTAACTAGGTAAAAGACCCAGAGGAAAACCAGGTCATTTGTTTATAAGTAGTTCTCCCAGCATAGCATAATCAATTTCATTTAATTTTGGGTGGGACATCTCCATTTCAAAATACAAGGAATGTGACCTTCTCCAGCCAGCCAGGTAACACAAGAGAAGACATCACAATATTATTCAAATTAAACTCTACTATTGCAGCTTGATGTGCTGTCTGAAAGTTCTCAGAAAAGTAACCAATAGTGCTGAGTATAACTGCGGGGGGGGGGGCATTGGGGAAATCATTAAAATTTTCACACACTCTGAAAAAGAGCACTCTTTTTGGCCATTTTTTGCTGGGGCTCCGAAGGACACAAAAGTATTCACATTCCATGCCATGTGAAGACAAAGCTAAGGACTTTGTTTGCCTTCTGTAACATCACCAACTAATTAAATCTACATGCTGCAGTGACATCATAGTGGCCACATGAATCATGACTGGCTGGGACCTCAAAAAGAGAACACACAAAATGGTTTTGAATCAGTGGGGCAGCAAATAGGTTCACCACCTAACAGACCCTGAAAGCCCATTTTCCATGCCAAAAATATTCACCCAAAAAGTGTGTTACAGTAACTAATCAACATTCTGAGCACATCATGGTATAGAATTAAGTCTTAAACAGCCTTCAGCAAAGGGCACATCCTTCGAGCAAACCAAGATAATATCTCTCATTTGGAGGAGCCGGTTTTATTACTTACAAACTAGGAAGCCTACAGGACTTACAGATTCTTATCTACTGGCCAGTGAACACTTCCCTCCAGTCTTAACTCTTAATTGTTTAGATTGCATGAGATTGGTGTACTTGTATTAGGGTTATACCATCCATCCCTTCCCTGCTTTGGGCTTCTACTCCCATCATGCCAGACCACTGGCCATTCTGGGAATAGTTGTCCAACACATGTGGAAAGTACCAGGCTGGGCTTATATCTATAGGGTTTCAATGTAAAACCGGGAGGAAACATAAAAGTACAGCACGTGTCCCTTTGTTCCTGGAACTCCAGAACCAATAGCAAACCGTGGTCCAGACACACTGCACAAAGCATCTGCATCAGCCATTAAGAGATGAATTGGTATGAGTGCAGCCAGGCCTGAAAGATCCTTTCACCCTGAATGCCAACTAGAAGCACCACAATTAAAACAGTTGCTGGGGGAGCAGTTCACTATCACCACTATCGTGTCTAAGGAAACACATGGATCCAAGTGACCCTGGCACTCTTATTTCCTTATCACTGCACTGTCCTACTTCCAATCAAAATTAAACATGTCTTCAGCTCCTTGAGTGTTTGCATTTATAGCCTGCTCAGAAACAGATTGCAACACCACCAGGATAATTACTGATCGTTCAGTTTCCCTGATGGCACAGGAATCTGTGGTTACAACTTTTTATAAATGTTCACCCCTAACATCTGTGTGGATTGGGTCAGGTGATATGAGTTCAGAGTCCCTTGGCTGCAGTCTAGTGTAATCAAAACTTCAGTGACTCAGAGAAGGCTCCAATGTCCATTTTTGTGACAAGACAATAGAAACTGCGAGAAAGCCACATAAGAGAAACTTTAAACCTTTCTATCACCTGGTGTTGCAACATGGAGATAGATGGTCAATAGTTTTTTTGAAGCAGCCAGAAACTATATCCAGAACGCAAGGACTAGATCCTTATTTTCTCTTTTGAGAACTGTAGTGCTCAGTATTACGCATGAAAAACATTTGAAAGAGGAGAAAAAACAACTGTTTCCAACTTGCTGCTTTATTTTATTAAAGCAGATGGCAGATATTAGCTATCTGGAAACATAGAAAGGCTAAATAGGTGGCAGATATTAGCTATCTGGAAACATAGAAAGGCTGAATAAGAAAAAAATTCTGTTTTACAACACTTCCTCTCCCTGCTCACCAGGAATAAAATAATAATCACCATAGGTGATCTGGTAGTTTCTCTTTACAAGTCTGGGATAACGTCTTACCGATTATGATACAAAGTAGCCACAGCAAAATTCAACAGTGGATCAAGACCTAAAACAGTTCTATAGGTAAAGGTAAAGGTACCCCTGCCCGTACGGGCCAGTCATGATCGACTCTAGGGTTGTGCGCTCATCTCACTTAAGAGGCCGGGAGCCGGCGCCGTCCGAAGACACTTCCGGGTCACATGGCCAGCGTGACGAAGCTGGTGAGACAGCACCAGTGCCGCTCGTGAACCAGCACCAGTGCCGCACACGGAAACGCCGTTTACCTTCCCGCTATAAAGCGGTACCTATTTATCTACTTGCACTTAAGGGTGCTTTCGAACTGCTAGGTGGGCAGGAGCTGGGACCGAACAATGGGAGCTCATCCCGCCGCGGGGATTCGAACCGCCGACCTTACGATCAGCAAGTCCTAGGCACTGAGGTTTTACCCGCAGCGCCACCCGCGTCCCACAAATAGTTCTATAGCCACTGTTATTAGGAGTGAGGACCTATGCTTTTCCTAGATTCCTGAAGACTATTATTAATTATAAAAAAACTCAGAACCTTCTGTTAACATAAAAAGCAAAGATCTATCACATGAAGTGTAACAAGAAAAAACTAATATTAGGACCTATGCTGTGCTTCCCCTTATTAGAAAAAACTGACAACCTGATCCTATGTTTACTCAGAACTAAGTACCACTTTGATATGATTTACTCCTAAGTAAGACTGCATGGGATTGTGCTGTAAAAGGCTAGGCTAAACTATACAACAACTGATTAGATACAAGATGCATTAGAAATAAAACATTAAGGACAGAACACGCTCATCACATGAACTCCACATTACACAACGGCACGTCTAAAACTGACACTTACATGACTGAAAAGCAAAGGTCAAGAACAAGCAAACACAGCAGTACATACACGTCATCTGATTTATTTATTGCTTGAACAAAATACCGAACAGGAAAAGCTTCCAAGAGGTTTAGAAAAACTATCTACTCAAGTAACATACAAATCAGTCCACAGGGTGTGATGCAAAATAACTGCTCATATTTCAGAGGTGAAAATAACATGACTAGGCTTTAGGAAGTTGAGCTGGAAGGATCCTTTTGGGTTAAGCAATCTTGTAAATCAAAACAGAGGCCTCTGAAGATTTTATTTAAAGTTACACTTAAATGCAACACGCTATATAAGAGAGGAAATTAATATATTGGATTGAAACAAACTATGGAGGGGGAGCACAGTAGAGAAGATACCCAGCATCCAAAGTGGACATTTCTATTGCTAAATGGGAAATTACATATCTTACTGAGAAGCTTGATACTTAAAGGTAGTTTGTTCTTTTATAATTGCTGCCCTATGCTCCTTGCAGAAGGACAGACAGGATAGAAATGATGCAGTAGTAACAACAACAACAACAACAACAACAACAATCTACAAGAGTGAAATTGAATATATCTACCATGGGAAAGAAGAGGAGAAAGAACCATAAAAGTGCAATAGTGCAGTACTATTGGCATGCACGATTAAGGATTTTGTCACCAGATATCTTTATATACAAATCCTGTTTGGGTCTTTCATGCTGAGGCATATTCAAGCCTAACCAAAATAAAAGACATATGCAGTTGTTTGAGGAAAAACGCTAAGTTCCCATATGGCATCTCCTGCATGAGGAGTGTCAGAGATAGCGGCACAGAAGGAAAGCCCCACCACAGCTTTACCATTTGTTCATCCAAGTCACTCTAGGTTAAGCAA